TCGTAGTCTGCCAAAGATACCAACTTTTATTCGTGCTCTTAAATGCATATATTTGCTTTGATATTGCAGGGGTCTTATGCACTCGATGACCAAGCTCTAGGTCTAAGAGAAGACAATGACGCGATTGCCGAACCACCAACTTTGTTTGGCTGGAACTTGATTGCAGATTCGAACCGCCAGGCCGAGACAACAACAACAACAGCCCATGGATACAGTTAACTGTGCAAGCCATCAAATGTCAGCCAAAATTCTGAAATATCAATTCGATTCGAACATATAAATAAAGGTTTATTGTAATATTGATTAACATATGACTTAAGTTCAATATATTTCAGACAGCTGAGGATGTCGGCTTTTTAACGGCTGAAACTGCAAAAAGTATATTCTATAGAAATGGCTACTAGAGTAGTACCTTTTTTTCTCATTGGTTTTCAGTAGTCTACTGAATTCAAATGTCTGTTATAGAAAAATTTTTTTACTATTCTTTCTTGTGCCATGTTTTAGCGAATTACGACTAGTTCAAATTTTATACTTGAAGAAAGCGTATCTTTCGGTTTAAAAAATGTTTCTAAAATCTCGAATAATCGCGAACCCTACGGGCTGCTACACTTGAATTCAATGTCTCCACAATATATGCTGTATTCATTCTAGCTAATGGTATTTAAATATTTCTCTACATTGTGAGGATTAAGTCGCATAGTTTGCATACACTTTTTATGGATACGGCCAAGTAGTAGAATTTATGAGCTGCATTAAAAAATGGACAGATACTTTGGTTTACGAATGCAGATTACTTAATCGTAAATATTCGCATTTTAAGAAACTTTTAAAACCAAAAGGTACGCTTTCAAATTTAAAATTTGAAGAAGGCATAATTTGTTGTAACGGTGAAGTCAGTGTTGTCACCGTTTCAGTAGGCCTTTGGAATCCTCAAGGAAGAATATACTAAGAAGGGCGTAACTTTGGAGTCCATCCGAAGGAAGATTTATTGTGCAAAAAACCCTGAGTTGCTGTCAAGCTGGCTGACGTCCAGCGTTTTGGTGCAAAGTATGGCAATCGGGAACGGACTGACAGTGACCTCGCAGTCCCTGTACAAATCAACGTCTGAGATGTGCTGGTGACTTTTAAGTAATTGTCAAGTGCGTTCGCCTGTGGCCTGATTTGGCGCATTTGCCATGGCGAACCTAAGTAGCCCTAGAGGAACTGCGACCCATTGGCATGCGCGTAGGCTCACGTGCGTCTCTGTCCTCTCAAAGTTTTAGGTCATCGCGTGGGTACAACCACTACGAAGGCATACGACCTTGAAGGCAGTCCGAATTGACAAAAGGATCATTGTGGCAGTCGGCGGCAGACACGACGCCTCAGGAGGGTGAACAAGGTTGCTGTCATTTGATCAGGCTAGACTCCTAACGTAACAAGCTACCGTGCGAGTACATTAGGTAATATTATTGGGCACATGTAATTGATTTTACCAGGGCAGTAAAAATAAATGAGAAAGATGCATAACACTTAAGCAGCCATTTTTTACAGAATATAATCTTTGCTGATAGTAAAAGGGAAGTTCGTCCAAAAGCCGGCATCCTGAGATGACTGAAATATATATTACAATCATAATTAATTAATATGTTCGAATTGAAAGTGCATTTTAGAATTTTGGCTGACAGTTCATTAGATACACCATTTACTCTTTTGTGTGGCGTTGCGTCTGATACACTTAGCCTTTGTTGCATGCGCAATGGGATCGAGTGAGAATTCGCAACACAAGGCGCCTCCTGCTGGTCAATTGTATCCTCTAAATTACATTTTCCCATTACGTTTAATCTACTTGGACCTGAGATTTATATGAATAAACATTTAAACCTCGAAATCATCCTCCTCTCTCCGAGTATCACATTTGTACTACCTTTCACTACCTAAAAAGGGAAACCTAAAGAAATCACTCCCATCTCCGGGCCTCACACATATAACACTTTTTTCTCTATCCCATGTTTTGCTTTATTATTTTGGTAAATAAGGTGCACGGGTGATGGACAAAATAGTTTAGCCTCAACATTGGAGAACAAAGGGCTCCACGAATGCTTGACAGTTGTGTCAATGGGCGTACACTGCAATAGTTTACCGGTACGGGCATAACGATGTCCATTTCTATTTACCTTTCTTAATTTTGGCTTTGGTTGGTATGCATTTTAATATATGTTTTTGAGCTGAGTACAGTATGGCAGGTCCCCAAAACAACTTTCATGACGGAATTCAACTTGGTATTTTAGCATATACCTGGACACGTTATTTTGGTCAACTGAGTGGATTTAATAATAAGAGGGGCCTCGGTTTGAAAAACTTTCATTTTATTTAAATTTATGGAGCGAAAAAGGCACTAATTTTGATTAAATAATGAATAAGTTTTTATCGAACAAAATTCCTATGCTATAAGGTATGATAGAATCAAAGTTTTTACTAATATGCATTGTGGTCTGGAAGAATTCTAGAATAAGTTCAAAAAAATGGAATAATAATCCCTTCCAGAACTGTAAAATTTGGTGCGAAGCTGAGCAAATAGAAAAGAAGCCAAGTTTAAGGAATCGCATTTATTTTTCAGTAACAAGCAAGAATTTAAGTTTTAAAATTATGTTTAGCTATCCTGTGAAGATTTTGTACAAATGCAGTAACAAATAGTTTCGTCGCGATTTGTTTGAACCTTACCGCTGACCTTGCGCACAAAACTTTGCCATACATGTTACTGTGAAGGGAATTAAAGAAGGCCTTCTTATATGTAAGTCATGTAGAAATATACTTTTTGTGAACAATAGTTTCCGCTCAACCGTTATTTAGAAACGAAACAGATAAATGAACAATGAAAACTATAAAAATAGTCATATATATGGCCTGTTTTTTTGCATTCACAAGCTTACTACGGATTGTGGAATTAATCCCCTCAAGCGGAAATAATCCATTATAAGGCGAAAAGCATTTTATTTCATTTCCAGTCGACTTTAATCGTTTATCTTCAGGTAAATTGAAGAAATTGTCAAAAGTCTTCAATTTTCCTGTGACATTACCTTGCAAAATGCTAATGAACATGGAAGTTCTTCAGATAAATATCCAATAAAAGCGTTTTTTAAAGAGGTAACCTAGTATGGAACGTTTTTTATTAATCCTAGGAATAACAATATGGGTGGTATTTAGCTGATATTTTTGTATGCTCGACAATGTGGTTCGCTGTTTTGAAGCTTTTCTTCATATGACCTACAAGGCCATCTCCATAAGAA